GCAGTGGTTTTCAACCTTGGCTGCACATTAGAATCACCTGGGAATCTTTTTAAAATCCTGATTTCTGGGCCTCATCCTCCGGAAATTCTGTTTCTTTGTTACTAATGTTGTGGCCCCGACCCATAATAAAGAAACAGAATTTCTGGAGGATGAGGCCCAGAAATCAGGATTTTAAAAAGATTCCCAGGTGATTCTAATGTGCAGCCAAGGTTGAGAACCACTGCTCTAGCCTCCTGTTCAGAAACCTGCACAAGTGCTCAGACGGAGAAGGAGTTTTCACCTGCTCACATAAGGAAACACTAGCGAACATGATTTAAGTTAAAAGTGGAGATACACTTTCCAACTCTCCCCTGACAGGTACAGAGCCCGCGTCCTCACCTCTGCCTGGAAATCGCCTTCCCCTCCCTCCTTCACTGTGTCCAGAGGGAGGTTTTGATCAACCTCTCCATCGCTGGCTTCCAACTCCACTTCTTCCAGCCTAGCAGCCAGCTCTACCCAATAAGGCTCTGTCCCCGCCCATTTCTGAGAGGTCTCTCCCCAGCCTCCATCCCGTCTGCTGAGGGCAAATACAGCAGGGAACAGTCTCTCCACCCCCCAATACAACACCCCTTCCCCCTTCAAGATCCTGACACCACTTTAAGCTACTGGCTTATTTCCCAATTTAATTTTCTCAGCACATATCCACTGCCTACTAAGGCTTCCGTTTCCTAACTGCAAGATAGGGATAACATGAAGGTTAAGGACAACATTGTGCTGAGAAGACCTAGACCTAGACCTAGGCCTGGTACAGAGTTCAATCAAAGGCGTTCCTTTCTGTAATTCCCAAAATAATGACTGAGCCAAAACTTTGCCAATCAGCCTTTCTTCCTAGCTGGGAGGCTTCTTGAGGATGGAGCCTTGGACCTACTCACCCTGTATCACCTACAGCGCTCAGCATTAAGCCTTGCACACAGCAGGGGGCTCAACAAATGTTTGTTGTTAAATTTCTAAACTCCTCTCTGCTGAAGCAAACACTCCGGCCTTGGATCCTATCAGCACACAAAACGCCTACGGACTTCAGGGGAATCACATTCTCACACGCCACATGCACACAGCCAAGCGGCAAGATGAAGAGCGGAGTCTGGTCCAGCAGAATCCCTACCCCCCGCCCCCCTGAAGCAGTATTTCACGTTCAGCCTGGCTTGAGGTTACACAAACACTTTTTTGGGACTCTGAAACATGATCCTGTCAAGACTCAAATAGGGCTCAGTCTTCCTAATGCTTGGACAGCAGAACACAAAAAGGACCTGTAAGAGCGAAAGTGTCTCGGCTTGGAGCCGTTCCATTTCCTGCAGAAGACCATCTCCACCCAGAAAGAAAACTCAGAGGCCCAGGCTGGGGAGGGTCTACATAAAGTAGGCAGCTCTCTTAGGTCTCCCAGCCCCAGTCCCACTCCACAGATCTCCCCTGGAAGAAAGAACACATCAGACAACACACAGTCTCAGCAAAACATAAAATCTATATCCGAAGCACCAAGAAGAGTTCTAAGTTAAACTGCTCTGACAGATGCTTTCAATTCCATCCCTCCTTTGGTTTGCATTTTATAAATTGCTTTCTTGCAAAATGCAATCAGTAAACACTTACTGAACATTCACTCTGTGCCAAGTCCCGAGATTATAAGATTAAATATACATAAGGCAGTGTCCTTTGCCCTCCGAGAGCTCACAGGGCAATGAGGGAGAGATCTAGGTAAACAGACCCCTATGATTGCGTTGTTGTAAGGATTATGATAGGGGGAAGCCAGGGTGTTAGAGAAGCACGGAGAATGTGGCATCTAACCCGGGCTGCAGGGGAGGCGAGAGCCTTAGGAGGCTTTCCCCGGAGGAGGTATAGTTGAGCTTAGCTTTGAAGGATAAGTAGGAGTTAGCCAGGTGGTGACTGACAGGAATGTTGTTCTAGGCACAGGGAGCAGTGTGTGCAGAGGCTCGACAGCGAGTACGGCACGTTCGGGAGCTGCGGGAAGCTCAGCGTGGCCAGCGTCAAGCAGTCGACTAGGCTGGAGAGACAGCCAGGTCTTCAGAAGCCTCCTAGGACAATGAGGGAACTCTGACCGTATCCTCTTGGCCTTTGGAGCCATTGTCAAGGCTGAATCAGGAGATCAGCGTGTTGGGACGACTTGCACTAAAATCATGATGGTATCTAAGATGGAGAAGGTGTTAGAGAGCGTGAAGGCAGAGGCACCAGTCCGGACATTATTGCAGAATCTAGGACAGGATGAGTCCTGAACTACAACCATGCAGTGCAGACAAAGAGGAAGAGATGTGTGGTGTGTTTTTTTGTTTGTTTGTTTGTTTTGTTTTTTAAATATATTTTTAGTGATTTCAGAGAGGAAGGGAGAGGAAGAGAGAGAGAAACATCAATGATAAGAGAGAATCACTGATTGGTTGCCTTCTGCACATCCCCCACTGGGAATCAAGCCTGCAACCTGGGCATGTGGCCTGACCAGGAATGGAACCGTGACCTTCGGGTTCATAGGTTGATGCTCTATCCCCTGAGCCTCACTGCCTGGGCAAGAGATGGTTTTTGAAATGCTGAGACAGAGCTGCAGTGGGTGGAGGGGTGTGCTTGTATGCTGATGCTTTTCTCTCCACTTCTGTTTCCACCTCTGGAAATTTTTGCACTTGTTCCCATCAAAACTCTTAAAGGTTGGGTAACTAGGCTAGTGAAAAGGATTCTAGCTCTGCTTCCCTCTGCCTTCTAATATTTCGGCTCCTCCTGATACTGGCTTGGGGAAGCGGTTCCGCCCTCCTCCTGCATCGGAACGGCAGGCTGTTCTGAGATCGGATTTACTTAGGCACCAGGACAATGCAGCCCTTCCACCAAGAGCAAGACCACACAGACAAGGACACTGTGGGCCGGAGGGTCCCGTTCACTGTGATGAGGAGCTGGGAAATGGAGTGCCCTTGCCAATGACGACTATCGGTATGATACCATCAGTCACTGCCTCCCACTCCCCACCCAACACGCACAGCCCTGCTCAAAGCTTTGCCCTATGGAGTGGGACAGACTTGTCTTCCAATCCAGGTTCTGCCATGTTCAGCGAAACTTCTAAATGAGGGATACATTCCCTACCTCAGAGGTTTACTCTAAGGATTACATG